GTATTTTGGATCACACACAAAGCTAAACTGTCTTCCTGGACGAGTGGTGTGAAAGTGTTGACAGTCGTAAGTAAATTTAGCATCTGTAATGTATGGTGGTGATAGTTGTGATGGTGATAGTGTCAGGTTATTGTAGTAGTTGTGGTGGTGATAGTGTCAGGTTATTGTAGTAGTTGTGGTGGTGATAGTGTCAGGTTATTGTAGTAGTTGTGGTGGTGATAGTGTCTGGTTATTGTAGTAGTTGTGGTGGTGATAGTGTCAGGTTATTGTAAGTTGTGGTGGTGATAGTGTCAGGTTATTGTAGTAGTTGTGGTGGGATAGTGTCAGGTTATTGTAGTAGTTGTGGTGGTGATAGTGTCAGGTTATTGTAGTAGTTGTTGGTGAGTGTCAGGTTATTGTAGTAGTTGTGGTGGTGATGGTGTCAGGTTATTGTAGTAGTTGTGGTGGTGATAGTGTCTGGTTATTGTAGTAGTTGTGGTGGTGATAGTGTCAGGTTATTGTAGTAGTTGTGGTGGTGATAGTGTCAGGTTATTGTAGTAGTTGTGGTGGTGATAGTGTCAGGTTATGGTAGTAGTTGTGGTGGTGATAGTGTCAGGTTATGGTAGTAGTTGTGGTGGTGATAGTGTCAGGTTATTGTAGTAGTTGTGGTGGTGATAGTGTCTGGTTATTGTAGTAGTTGTGGTGGTGATAGTGTCAGGTTATTGTAGTAGTTGTGGTGGTGATAGTGTCATGTTATTGTAGTAGTTGTGGTGATGATAGTGTCTGGTTATTGTAGTAGTTGTGATGGTGATAGTGTCATGTTATTGTAGTAGTTGTGATGGTGATAGTGTCATGTTATTGTAGTAGTTGTGTGGTGATAGTGTCTGGTTATTGTAGTAGTTGTGGTGGTGATAGTGTCAGGTTATTGTAGTAGTTGTGGTGGTGATAGTGTCAGGTTATTGTAGTAGTTGTGGTGGTTTATAGTGTCTGGTTATTGTAGTAGTTGTGGTGGTGATAGTGTCTGGTTATTGTAGTAGTTGTGGTGGTGATAGTGTCTGGTTATTGTAGTAGTTGTGGTGGTGATAGTGTCAGGTTATTGTAGTAGTTGTGGTGGTGATAGTGTCAGGTTATTGTAGTAGTTGTGGTGGTGATAGTGTCTGGTTATTGTAGTAGTTGTGGTGGTGATAGTGTCTGGTTATTGTAGTAGTTGTGGTGGTGATAGTTTCTTATGGTCAGACTTGTGGTGTCATGAGTTATATTTCTCAGTCAGGTTAAGATTTTACTAGTCTTAGGAAAGCGAATTTTTGTTTTTGTTTTTTTATGAATGAAAACATGTAACACGAGACAGGAGGCAGCGCGATACAGAGGTCATTATGCCTCACAGTCACCCAGTATAGTGTAGTTACCAAACCCCAGGAATCCATCGGTAAAATTCCACCGAACAAAATCCTACCTAACGATTTTCACGTCGATAGAATCCCTGTCAATTTACGTTCTTTAGGTGTAGTTGGGTGTTGCTCCACCAGTATCCTGTATCCCAGAGTGTTGTATAGCCGTTTAGCCACCTCATACACCTCCCCCTCCCCCCTGTGTCTCACTCTGACAACCAACCCGGAAACTTTAATGACACACATCAGGTTCTACTCACCTTGTCATAACCTGGATATTATCAACGGCGGGTCGCGTCGTGTTCATGCGATTCACAAACATAAATTAGTTGAACGTCGCTAAATGTTGCACGATATTCTGAAGTGATGTGACCGTCAGCCTGTAGTGCTTCTCTGGTAATTGACACGAGATAAGGTGATTAAGTCTCCTAATTGGTCTCAGGTCACTTGTTCGCTTCATCTGCAGTTAAGGGATTGATTGTTGTGATGCAAACTTTGTCTAATTAATCCCAAGCCAAATGTGTTTTTTTTTTTAATCTGTATTTTGTGTTATTAAACTGTCCTCGACTTTCATAAGGTTATTATCCTGTCCTCAACTGTGTGTGTGTGTGTGTGTGTGTGTGTGTGTGTGTGTGTGTGTGTGTGTGTGTGTGTGTGTGTGTGTGTGTGTGTGTGTGTGTGTGTGTGTGTGTGTGTGTGTGTGTGTGTGTGTGTGTGTGTGTGTGTGTGTGTGTGTGTGTGTGTGTGTGTGTGTGTGTGTGTGTGTGTGTGTGTGTGTGTGTGTGTGTGTGTGTGTGTGTGTGTGTGTGTGTGTGTGTGTGTGTGTGTGTGTGTGTGTGTGTGTGTGTGTGTGTGTGTGTGTGTGTGTGTGTGTGTGTGTGTGTGTGTGTGTGTGTGTGTGTGTGTGTGTGTGTGTGTGTGTGTGTGTGTGTGTGTGTGTGTGTGTGTGTGTGTGTGTGTGTGTGTGTGTGTGTGTGTGTGTGTGTGTGTGTGTGTGTGTGTGTGTGTGTGTGTGTGTGTGTGTGTGTGTGTGTGTGTGTGTGTGTGTGTGTGTGTGTGTGTGTGTGTGTGTGTGTGTGTGTGTGTGTGTGTGTGTGTGTGTGTGTGTGTGTGTGTGTGTGTGTGTGTGTGTGTGTGTGTGTGTGTGTGTGTGTGTGTGTGTGTGTGTGTGTGTGTGTGTGTCCAAAATACCTCGAGAACGGGTCTGCAGAGTTGCACCAGACTTGGCAGGTTTGATCAACCAACCATTGTAACGGTTCGAGCTATTATAACACACAAGGTCTTTTGTGGGTGTTAAAGAAAACAATAACGTGAGACAGTCTCCAGCGATGACTATAATAATTTAAACTAACATTATCATTAGTAGGCAGCTACCAAACAGGGAGGTACTACCGCCTGGGAGGATATTGGAAGCATAATGTGTTGTCTAATGGTAGACCCTGCTGCTATATGGCATCACGAAAGTTGTGACCAAGTCCCAGGTTGCTGATCTGACTTTGTCTCCTTTACACACAGTCTTAAGTGTTTCTCTTACTATTGACAACACAACTTACTTCATATCTATCGTTTCTCACTCTTGATCTTTTTTTTTAATTTGCAATTATTATTATTATTATTATTATTATTATTATTATTATTATTATTATTATTATTATTATTATTATTATTATTATTATAATATCTTCGCCCCCCAAGCCCTAATGTGGGTCAGTGACCTGTGCTCGGGTGGGCTAATCCCCTAAAAAAAAAAAAAAAAATCAATATTTAACCTCCTATGGTAACGGTACGCTGGCAGGGTTTGCTGCCGCTTGCAACTGCTCGATGATGTTTATCTCAGCTCGGGTGTGTGAGTTTATCTACCAACAGAGTTTATCATTAACTCTTGATTAATTCTTGAATACATTTACCACGAGAGTTAACAATGAGGCTGTGTCTTGTATGTGCTGTTTAGTGCGACAATCAAAAGAAATTCAGATACTAACCTGGTTTTTAAATTCTAATTACTCTTGAGCCAACGTTATGTACTTCAATCAGTTAAAATTATTTACATGATAACTTTACTAATTCTGATCCACTGTTGATTAAATTATACAAGAAAACTGTTTATGCTGATGTATTACGTGTGTGAGTGATGCAGGAGCCCTACAACACAGGGGCTATACTCTGAGGGTCCAGCATCCAGGAATCTTTAATGAGACAGAGCCGTCGACAACCTCTTCTTCACCATGAATATTAGTATAGGTGTTTGTTTAATCAGTCAAGGTAATAATGTTTACCGTGTGTATCAATCAGTTAAGTTCACCTGCCTCATATACTTAACACTACACACCTGCCTCATATACTTAACACTACACACCTGTCTCATATACTTAACACTACACACCTGCCTCATATACTTAACACTACACACCTGCCTCATATACTTAACACTACACACCTGCTTCATATACTTAACACTACACACCTGCCTCATATACTTAACACTACACACCTGCCTCATACTTAACACTACACACCTGCCTCATATACTTAACACCTCACCTCATACTTAACACTACACACCTGCCTTATATATACACTGTATATACTTAACACTACACACCACTACACACCTGCCTTCTACACACCTGCCTCATATACTTAACACTACACCTGCCTTATATACTTAACACTACACACCTGCCTCATATACTTAACACTACACACCTGCCACATATATAACACTACACACCTGCCTCATATACTTAACACTACACACCTGCCTCATATACTTAACACTACACACCTGCCTCATAAACTTAACACTACACACCCCAACTTAACACTACACACCTGCTTCATATACTTAACACTACACACCTGCCTCATATACTTAACACTGCACACCTGCCTCATATACTTAACACTACACACTTGCCTCATATACTTAACACTACACACCTGCCTCATATACTTAACACTACACACCTGCCTCATATACTTAACACTACACACTAGATATGCTCCCTCCCTTTGTTAATGTCGTCATTAGTTAAACTCCCTCCCTCTGTTAATGGCGTCACTAGACTTGCTTCCGCCCTCTGTTAATGACTTCGCTCGAAATACTTTTCCATCTTATAATAATGCAACTCAAAGCAGTCCTCTATTTGTTAATGGTCACTAAATGCACTCTATTTGTTAATGACGTCACTCAATGCCCTCTTTGTTAATGACGTCACTCAAAGCAGTCCTCTATTTGTTAATGACGTCACTCAATGCCCTTTATTTCTTAATGACGTCACTCAATGCCCTCTATTTGTTAATGACGTCACTCAATGCCCTCAATTTGTTAATGACGTCACCCATAATGCTACCTCACCTTCCTAGTTATTAGTTCATTAAATCATGTTATATTTTCTCGTGTAATTGTACAGAGTATTTGACGTCTTCCTCCATTAAGAGACTTTGTATACATATTAACAGTACTTCATGATCAATGTTGTCTCCAGGTTGCTGTTCGGTGATACTTACATCAACACTTTTTATGGCATTACAGTATGTCAATATTTTCTAGGGCAGTCGTGAGATTGTCAAAAGTTTCGTTTTTAAAAGATGTTTTATACACATTATTTAGGTGTAATAAATGGCGGTGAATATGTACGCATGTAAAATGGTCTTCATTTATTTAGAAAAAAGTTGTAACATATTATTTACAACGAACAAGAAATGTAAAAATAGTTCACAAGTTACACACAAGTGAAGATTGAGTTTCCACCACCACGAGAGATGACAGGAAACAGGCGGAGAGCTTTCTGTGTATAGCTTAGCTAAGAGGATATCACAGCTGTGACGCGCGGAGGGGCATCTAACATAGGTATGAGAATAGTTTAAATGTAAAGATGAGGATAAATATGATATGACCTGAAAGGTATATGAGTAAAAATGTGTGTTGGGAGTCTTATAGGAAGACCCACCATGATATATCGGGAGACAAGAGATCCTTTCTGATGTGAGGCATAAAGTAGGTGTATAAAGTTTCCTAACGTGTAAGAGGCGTGTTATAGTGTCATATTACACACTGTGGTCATATACAGTGGCCACCAGCAGGATGTTTGCCACGTGTTTGTTTTCGTTCAACATCGTATCGGTCATCATACGACATCACTAGTGCATAGCTTTACTTTAGTGTGCCTGATAATGTCTTGTCACGGGTACACACTTAATACTGTTAACAGAGGTGAATTTGATCATTGTATCATCACGTAATGCTAAGCTTCACCCCATCGCTCAGTGTTACGTTATGTATGACCTGCATGACCTCGGCTGTCTCACTGGCCGACCTCGCCTCCACGCCTGATATGGTTCATGGGTTTGCAAGCTAGGAAGCGCTCGGAGAGGTCGCTGGTGGTCTTGGTGATGAACTTGAATTTATCCTCGGAGTCGGTGAAGACCTCTTTAAGGTTGGTCTGCCGCAGGAGCTCCGTCACGATATCGCTGTCACTGTGGTGGGGCATGCAACACGTCAACAACACGGACACAACAACAACATTGCAACTTATAAAAATAAACTAAAGATTTTGGAGCATCATGCTCAGACTCTCCCGATGCTGAGGTACTAGAGCACTGGGAGCCTCGCTCCTACACTAAGCTTAAAGTATCTACTAAATTATAAACATCACAACATTAATGTTACATAAATCTTCAGTTTCATTTAAATGACTTGTCTGAGAAAAATAAGAATATAATTACAGTAACTGTTATAATACGAAATAACGAAAGAAAATTATAAGAAACTTTTAATTAGACTTCAATGATATAAATTAACTTAAGGTTAAAATAAAGTTTACTGTAGTAGTAGTCTGGGCTGGTAAAGTAAACGTACAGTATATAGCTGGGTAATGAGTACACAATATAATCTGTGACTGGTACTAATAACTATGACAATATTAATGGCTGAAGTCCTCAAGTGTAGTAGGCAACTTCCAAACAGGGAGGTACTACCGCCTGTGAAGATATTGGAAGCATAATGTGTTGTCTAATGGTAGACCCTGCTGCCATATGGCATCACAAAAATTGTGACCAAGTTCCAGGTTGCTGATCTAACTTTCTACCTCATTTACACACAATTGCAGGGTCTCAATTGTTTCTCTTACTTTGACAACACAACATACAGGGGGTACATATACCGTCTCCCACTCATGAATTTTTTAATTTTTGCATTTATTTATTATATTATATTATGTATTATATATTATATTAATTTTTATTTAATATTTGTTTACAATTATTATTATTATTATTATTATTGTTATTATTATTATTATTATTATTATTATTATTATTATTATTATTGTTACCGCCACAGTAAGATAAGCTAGAAGAGAGAGAAAGAGAGGGATAACCATAATAAGATAAACTAGGCGAGAGAGAGAGAGAGAGGGGATGAGATGAGATAAGAGATATAGTGTTGACAACGAATTTACTGACCAATCTGCTGAGGTGTTTCAATACGAAAACATATGGCCCTCGCCTCCGGGCTGAGATTGCCCTCGAGGGTAGTCTACTGATTTCTACAGGACAGACAACACGTTGGTTCAGACCACTAGACCTTAAAACGTGAGTGATCGTGAAGTATTAGAATCTGCTAAGAAACTCTAAATAACTTTAATAAGTATATTTGTGTACTGCAATTTGATCATATTATACCAATTGTCTCCTGTATCAATAGTTATAACTTGCGAGTTATATTTAAGATGTTAACAGGCTATGTACTGTATATTGATTGTATTTCATAATATGTGTCCTGAGATAACAGCATTTGTTATATGAGAAATGTTCTTTAACAGGTTTTGACCGAATTATATGGTACGCGTCAACGTTGAGGGTTTATTTCTCCAGCAACAAACCAATAACGCTCCTATGAGCGTTAACAATTATTATTATTATTTGTTCGACCCCCAGGCCCTGATGTGGGTCATTGACCTGTGCCCCGGTGGGCTAATCCCATAAAAAAGTTCTTATGTTTCTTACTCGACTAAAAAGCAACAACACAAGCTAACTGACCAGCCCAGACGTGTTACTAAGCACACATGCCGTAGTGAGTGCCACAAGCAGCCAGGAATGGTAAACTTACATGGTAGGCGAGCTAACTGGGACGTTGTTCTCCTCCGACGAGTCGGTATACGTGTGGCGTCTGTCTCTGGCGGCTGTAACACAAACACTGAGGTTAGTTGACCGCTGGTGATGGGGGGAGTGTGCTTGAGATATCCAGAGATTACACCAAGCAAAATATACTTCTGGTTTATATTATTTTTTTATTTGTTTTTATTTACTGCTAAAGTGGAGAGCATTTGAGTACTATTGGTTATTGGAAGATTGGTGTTGATACGAAGGAATATTCAACATCGGAGATTATTAGGAGCTTTAAACTACCACGGAGTAGCCAAGATGAAGGACTCACCTGGGAGACCCCTGACGATCTTCGGGTTGTAGATCTTGGGGTCAGACACCATACGGACGAAGAAGGAGCGCTTAAACTCGAGGCTCTTCTTGTTCTTGCAGTCCAGCATTTTGAATACATCCTCGGTGTTCTCCTCTGCTTCTTTCTCCGCTTCCTCCTTCTCTTCCTTTGTCGCCTCCAACTGGAAAATGAAAATATTATAATGAATAAACGTTGTCTACTTATTTGTTTGTCTTACGCATAAAATTGACTCGTCAGTGTGGCCATAGTCGTTATAGTGTAAGAATATGGTGATACATTTCTTGCAAATTCAAAGTGGAAATCAAATTTTACATTACTTTTCACTGTTTCTTAATTTTTTTAAGTCTTACGTTAAAAAGTCTGCCTAAAATGATGTATTAGATACCAAACAGGGAGGTACTACCGCCTGGGAAGATATTGGAAGCATAATGTGTTTTCTAATGGTAGACCCTACTGCCATATGGCATCACGAAAATTGTGACCAAGTCCCAGGTTGCTGATCTGACTTTTTGCCTCATTTACACACAATTGCAGGGTCTCAATTGTTTCTCTTACTCTGACAACACAACATACATCTTGTATTTCGTTTCTCTCTCTTGATTTATTTTGTTCATTTTTGTGTTTACTTATTATTATTATTATTATTATTATTATTATTATTATTATTATTATTATTATTATTATTATTATTATTATTATTATTGTTATTATTGTTATTGTTATTATTGTTATTATTATTATATTTTCGCTCCCCCCCCCCCTTCCCCTCCCAGGCCCTGATGTGGGTCAATGACCTGTGCCCGGGTGGGCTAATTCCCGTAAAAAACAAAACAACAACTACAAGTCGAAGCCTCACCACTCTGAAAGACTCGAGCAATTACGAGACATACGTAACCAGAATGAAAAAAAATACAATAGTGTGGGAGAACTGAACTACAGTATGATGTAAACACTGGCATGATGGAGCCTACCTGATTCTTGTTGACAATCTCTGGTGTCTTGATGTCCTGGATGTTTGTAGCGAACTCTGTGATCACGTTCCAGGCGTAGTCTGTGGAGGAGAGATACAGTACTTCATGTTCCTTGTTTATATGATCAATAGATTAGGTGTTATTTATTAGCTTTGATGTGTGTTGTGGTCACTGGGAGGTGTATCAGTGCCAGCATAAAGAACACCAGACAGTTGTTGATTGGACCTAAACTCAAATACGTCTGTTCCTTAAAGTTCAAACGCTGACCAAAGTTTGGTTTTTAAAAAGTTTCAGACTGGAACTTTGACAATTATGCTTATTAGGTACTGGGAGTCTTGAGTCTTAAGTTCCACTTCTTCTAAGCAGCAATTTGTTTGTATTGACTGAGTATCAGGAAGACATTATTTCATGCTCTTAAAGATTGGTCCGGATTTTGTATACTCGTAATGTCAAAGAGAAAGTGTGAACAGGAACTCACCAATATCGGCGTCAGTCGCAGTCTGTCTGCAGACACAGAAGCGGATGACGTATCTGTCGTTGAGGGAGGCGGGGACCATGTGCAGCTTCCCCGACGCGTTGATCGTCGACAGCAACTTCTGGTTGATTTCGTTAGATCCCCGCAGTCTGTGGCCACACACAGGCACAGTTAGTTTAAGTTGCTCTAGTATTTTATAAAATGGCTTGTTGGAATTTAATATATGTTATTGCATCACATGAGAAACACTGAAAATGGCGACGAAGGAACCTTTGTTAGTGAAAACAATCCTACACATCTGAGGTTCACAACGGAAAATCCCTATTACAAGCAAGTGCGAGAACTCACCTGAAGCAGACGAGACCGAGGTGTACAGGGCTGGCCACCTCGAACCTAGGCTCCTTCTTGACATGAGCCTCAAATTTCTTGGCGAGGCGGCAGTGCTCACGGATGTACCGCTGTAGACCTTCAACCCCAAAGGAGCGGATCACGAACCACAGCTTGAGGGCTCGGAATCGTCGACTGAGAGGGATGCCCCAGTGCTGCACACACAACAAACACACATTATTAACACAACTATACAACGGCAATAAAAAACTATCCAATCAGATTAAAAAAAAGTAACTGTACGTTTTGAACATTTAAAGTGACCAACAAATTCTCATAAGGAAAGTAAAAGTGAATCATGTGTTGCTCCATAAACTGCCCGTGTTACCAACGTCTTCACTGAGTTTGTTGTGTCGAGGCTGTTTAGTAGTAACAAACGACGAGAGAAAATACAAAGAGAGAGAAAGACTGTTTGTAACTGTAACTCACCCTGTAGTCGATGGATTTATCGGAGAAGGAGTGCTGTAGGTAGAGTGGGTCCACCACCAGCGCCTGCGTCAGTCGGAACCTGTCCTTCACCCTGTGGCACAAACACACACTAGTTACCAAGGGAACTATACATATGATGGCGATATTACAGTGGATAAACAGAAGGAAAGGTGAACCATTGGGCACCAGGTGAACTGTTTCTAAGACAACAATACAAGGCAAACAAAATTATTCTTTACGTGACAAAAGATCCCCCCAAAACAGGTTACTTTTACTGCGGATAAACCTCAATTTAGTATAAGTTTTGATGATACTCTAATCGTCCCTGACAGAGGCGACACATGAGGCAGTCGTCTACTTACCACATGAGTGAACAGTCGAAGTTGGTCAGCATAAACTTGTTGGGGTTGAAGTTGAAGGAGGAGGCGTACTGCAGGATACAGAAACAAGTTATTAATTTGGTTTATGAAATTGAAGTTTGTCTTTGTGTGGGTGCTCTTCGCTCACAATTTGATAACTTTAACATTCTTGAATATTATGGCTATCTTATTAACCTTAAGTGGAATAAAGCAATATTTTGTGTTTACTTATGTTAGAATAATTACGAGTTAAACTGGTTTTCGTATACCAAATCATCTTTGTTGAGGTAGATAGATAGATAGAGATTGATTGGTAAATGCTAGATTGCTAAAGATTGGCTATATATGATCATGATGCTTCAGTAATGTATGTGTGTGTGTGTGTGTGTGTGTGTGTGTGTGTGTGTGTGTGTGTGTGTGTGTGTGTGTGTGAAGGTATAGTAACTCACCTCAATACCCTTCATAGGTCCTCTCAGCTCGGGACAGATGAAGGAGTTGCCACCGTAAGCACCGTCAACATGCAGCCACGCCCCGTACTCTGCACACACGGGACCTACAACACCAAAACAACACTCGTCAAAAAATTATCTTATGAATTTGTAGAGATTCTTGGCTTACAAAAATATTATAAATACAAAGGGAATATTTATATACGGTATAAAGGCGTAGAGGTGCTATATAACAGGTGTACCGTATATAGTATTTTGAAGGCAGAATCATAACATAGAAGAATAAACATTTTAGAGGACATACCGATCTCAGCTACGTTATCGAAGGAGCAGCACGAGGTGGTGCCCAAGGTTGTCTCGACGTAGAAGGGGATGAGACCCATGGCACGGTCCTCCTCCATTACCTGTAGGGGAGAAGCACAAGGGGAAGGGGGGGGCGTTAAGTCACGTCAGGTGTAGAGGGTGCCAAGGGGAGGGGTAAGGGTATATAGGGGTAATAATATATGGTAAAAATCTAAGACAAACTAAAATTAACTTGTACCATTAAGTTCAAGAACATTGGCGAATGTTGTAAAGAAACGAGCTGTAAAGACGATAGGATGTTTTGTATAAGATTAAAGAACTGAAAAAGTGTTTTGTAAGTGAGTTTGTAAGTTAGTGAGGTAAAAGTACTTCTCTAGTGATCCACCTCCGGGCTGGGTATAGTAACTTTATCTTCCGTGTTTCTGTCTCCCCCGAAACACAAATTGCGTTTCATTCATGTTTATTGGTTTACCGCCGATATCCTAAGTTACTCTGTCTGTTGCTGCAAGAAGGAGTAACTTGTACAGCAGGAACTATCTAAGAGTAGTATCTGGGAGACCTTATTGGGTTCCCGAGTCTTGGCTGAAAGTGTTGAAACTACCAAGAGATTTATAAGAAAACTTTAGCTATGAAAAAGAATGAATGTGTGTTTGATATCCCGAAGAAAACTTAAGATTAAATGAGTGTAGTTGTATGTGAGCAGTGAGTGATTTTTTTTCCAACTAATTTTCCAGATCCTGTAGAAGGTCATTAAGCAGTGGAAGATGTTGTGTTGAAACAGTAATGCGACTTAATTATGTACATTATTCTTAAATAATGTTTATGTATGTCATTTTGGAATATGTTTGTATTTACACAAGTATCTGTGTCTGTGTTTGTAGCTGTACAGGTAATTGTACCAACCTTTACCTGTACTTTTATCTGTGACTGTTTTCTATACTTTCGCTGTACATGTAAACTGACATACACTTGTACCTGTTCTGTCACTGTTTTCAATGTGGAAATTAGCCAACATAAGGCTGGACAGGTGAAGGGAAGGGGTTCTTACCTGCTGGAGGGTGGAGCCTCTCAGGCTCTGGTTCTCATCGGGTTCCAGGATCCTTAGCCTGACGAAGGCCATCATGGCGGCCTTCTCGACACATGAATGTGCCTCCTTGCTACAGTAAGCCATCATCTTTGAGAGCAGGACGCCCTCCTCCACAAACGGGTGTTGCTTCTTCAGCTGACGGATGGTGTGGGCGCGGGCGGCCAGGAGCGACACAAGCACACACTCAGACGCCGAGCCCTGTCAAGTAACAACATTATCCAGTTTAATACGGCGGTCATGCACAGTACATCATTATTCTTTACAAGGTGTACACTAGTTGAGATAACGACATAGTAAATGATGACAAATATAGGGCAGTTTTGTTCCAGAAATTTGGCAAAAGTTGGGATAACTGATGCCGTACGATGTGACGTCAAGTTGCACCATTTATTTTGAAGACTATCATCATGGCATCACTGATCAGTGGTGTGATGGCTACACACATCACACCTTCAGCCATCACCCGCCACCAAGTGAAGTCCTATGACAAGAGGTGTCAACGTGGCTCACATGTTGCAAGTTTTTCTGGTGCTGACAAAAGTCATCAGTAACAAGATACACAATAAAGTACTGGGTGAGGAGAACATGGCGCAGGAGTATAAGGGGATTATCACCCTCCAACTTTAACACAAATCGCTCCTCTGATGCTCTGAGTCGCCTCGATTAACTCTCAAGACGATAATATATCTTGGTGACGCTCACTCACCTGTACTTCCTCCCCCACCTGGCACAGCTTTCACGTGGCTGAGTTATAAGTCGCGGTTGTCGCCAAAGTTCAGCGTGAGACCGGCCATTGTTGGCTGGTAATGGCCACATCGATTTCTTATGTGTTGGCGCGCACGAGCGAAAGAGAGAGAGAGGGAGTCCCTCTCGCTTATAAACTTTGCCATTCACAGCAGCCAGTGCGGCTAGTAGAGTACCAATGGGGGTAGGGAGTTGTGGACCTCTGATGGATGGGGGAGGGAGACTTTGATGGGCAGGGGGAGACACTCACGGGGCTTCTTATTGATAAGAAGGGGACTGTTGGTCCTGTGATAAGTTGTGAATGTGCTCTTGGGAGGATTGATAAAGTATGTCTGCAAATATTTCATATTCCTTCGCACTATGTGATACTGTAACGCAAATATTTCATATTCCTTAGCACTATGTGATCCTGTAACGCCCTCTTCGTCTACCGAGTTCTCTTAATAAAAAGGCGAAGAAAAACTATGACCTATTATATGGAGAAATGATATTCTCCGGATTCCGTAAAAAGACTTGACCCTCACCTGTATGACTCCTCCGCCCTTGCTGTTCTCGCTGAAGGAGAGGAATTCTTCTGGGAGACCCACCATCTTGCCTGTAGGGTACAGAGACGTGTGTTATAATTCCTGTTGACTCATAAACACTAAAGTTACAAAATTATATCAAAATACACTTTTTTTTCTCCAAGAGGTAATGGCTTAAGAAATGACTTTAGGTGTGTTATACGAAGCGATTATAGAAAGTTTATGAAGAACAAGTAGAGGAGGTGAAGTGATGGACGACTTACCCAGCCAGTCTAGGACGATGGTCTCCAACTCGGTGCAGGCAGGACTCGCGGCCCATGAGAAACCAATGCAGCCGAGACCGTCACTCAGCATGTCCCCGAGGATGCTGGGGTAAGAGTTGCCTGAGGGGAAGTACGCGTGGAACCTTGGGTGCTGCCAGTGAGTAACCTGACGGAGGAACACAAGAACTAATTGAAATAAATGTGAGATAACTACTCTTAACTATTGTATATGAATGATGCTAATATTAACTCTAGCTACATTATATATGATTGGGAGTCCATGTGTTTGGTACTGGTAATATACAGTATATATATATATGTGGTGGTGTATTATGTGTTAAGAGCTTACCCCTGGCATGATCTTGTCCTCGACGTCTTTCATGATGTCATCCCACTGTTCTGGTCGTTGTGGGGCCTCTAGGGGTACCAGGTCCTTGAGGTAACCGGGCTCGATGGCTGGAGTGACCCGCCTGTTCTCGATGGTGTCTAGATAGTCGGCGATGTAGTCCACCATCTCCTTCCCCCGCTTCCGGAACTCTTCTGAATCCATACCTTCTGTCTCCGTCTTGCTGGTGGTGGTGTCGTTGTTGTTGGTGGTGGTGGGGAGTAGTGGTGCAGGGATCATGCTGGTGGTAGTGGTGGTTGCTGATGTAGGTATGATGGTGGTAGTGACGATGGTATTTGCTGTGGTAGAGATGCTTCTGTTTATTGTTGTTGAAGTTATAAATACTATGATTTTCTGTGATGAGAGATGTAGGTATGTGAGTCTGTATCACTTGTTCAACAGCGGCTTGTATATGCCCTCGTGGTCTTCGTTGTTGCGGTACAAAACACGATATTTCCTTTTACCTGTTGGGAGAAATTAAGATAATTATTATTGGCTTTACTAACGTCATAGACATATTAGTTATTATATACAAATTTAATAACAAAAAAATCTGTTTTAGAAAATCCTGAGGGAGTTGTAGCCGGATAATTGGCCGAAGTTATTACCACCAACGCCATGGAAAATAAGTGGATGGACAAGAGACAAGTCGAGACAGACACGTAGCGCCATCTTCGTGTGGGAATGCTGACTATCCCTGATGGTAGGAGGGGGGGGGGGAGAGTGTACCCTGAGCTGGGAGAGTGGGAGGACGGGTGAGGAGTAGTAAGAAGGGGGGTGTGTGGGTGGGTGAAGAGTAGGTACGGGAATAGGGTTATATAAGGAGAATACAGGGTTGGGGGGGGGTGTCAGGAGGAGAGAGGAGGAAGAGGGTCAGTAGGGTAGAATGTCCTCCCGAGGTCAAGCTTAACATACCAGACAATATATGACATTCTTCACCGTAATCCACTTTTTATCCCTCGCCGCCAAGTCTTGGGACTCAGATGGCAGTAAAGGAATATTTATCCCCTGTTTGTCCGTCCGTGAATGTTTCTCGTATTTTGAAATTTTCGAAAAAGTATAAAAAAAAATTGACAATTATGCAAAAACAAAGTTATGTGATGCTCTTTGCACCAAGTACCTCCAAGACCAAGAGGACTCCAGGCACTTGAGGCTTCTACCATCCAGTGACCTCCTGTAGCCCTTATTTAGTGTGTGAAGTGGCAGGGTAGGGTAAGAGGGGTAAGGGATTAGGTCTTCTGGGTAGATATTGAAAATGGAGCGTCATTGCCTCTATGTAAGTCGGGGGAAGGGGGGAAGAAGAAGCGACGCCTCTCTCTTCCCCCACTTCCTCCTCCTCCCCCCCGTCATATCCCTCCGTGTGGCTGCCTCCAACAATGAGACGCGTGCCGGGAATTCTCAGCCCTCAGGAATTCTCACTCCTGTATAAGATATGGACTCCCGACCTCCATTCCCACCCACCTCATCAAATCGCCTACACACCCCCAATGGCTTAAATCTGGTGTTGGCTCTATTGGACATTTTTCTTGCCGCCGCCTCCACTTTTTGATGTGACGCTCTACCTTTTATGTGTGTGTGTGTGTGTGTGTGTGTGTGTGTGTGTGCGTGTGTGTGTGTGTGTGTGTGTGTGACTTGGGGAACTGGATAAAAGGATGAATGGATCTGTTGGTTAGGTTAGGTGACTTTGTGCATTTTGGTGATGTATTGAGTGGGTGGGTGTGAGGCTGGGTGGTGGGGGTGTGGGTGTGAGGCTGGGTGGTGTGGGTGTGGGCGGAGGAAGAGAATGTAATAGAGGACTTCTGGAATCTTTCACTGCCTCTAAATTGATTTTCATTGTGGTAAAACGCAGCTCACATTTCCATCTCCCACTGAGGTCCGCGGCTTTTTTTCTTAAGAGAGAGAGAGGGGAAGGATGGGAGAGGGAAAGAAAGAGAGAGAGGGAGGGTGGGAGAGGGAGAGAGGGGAGAAAATGAGAGGGGGAGAGAGAGCATGTGTAGGAGGATTCATACTCTAGATATTTATAGCGAAAATTGTTGGACCATTAAGAGACATAATTTAGGTGTGTCTGCGTGTCTCTGTGTACGTGTGTCTGTGTACGTGTGTCTGTGTGTGTGTATTTGATATGCATATTTACACAGTCATAAATATAATACCTCACTAATGACTTTTTCGGGATTAATCTCATAAACACCGGACATATTTTTTTTTTTGCTTTACACACTAGTTGTAATGTAAATATAACATGAATTAACATATAACATTACTGGGGATAAATCATGTTTAGTCATAGAGGATAGAGTCAGTTCTATCATTGTGTTCAGCAGACGGTGATAACAGCTCTAACATGTATAGATATTTTGTGATTTTTTTTTCTCCATCTGACAAAATTTCGTGGATGCCAGAAACTTTGGCGTGGGGGGAAGGGTGAGGTCGGGCATGGAGGGGTGGGGGGAAGGGTGAGGTTGGGCGTGGAGGGTGAGGTTGGGCGTGGTGGGTGAGGCCAGGCGTGCAGGGTGAGATATAAATGTAGGGCCAGGCCGGGCATTTCATCACCACTTAACCTCATCACTACCACTACCACCACCACCACCACCACCACCACTACCACTACCACTACCACTACCACCACCACCACCACTCACTTCACTACCACTACCACCACCACCACTTCTCCAGGAATTTCACCGATTTTTTTTAATTAACAGAGGATAACAAGACCGCCGATAGGCATAGAAGCATAATCCACTCGTATGCGGGTTTGATGTGTGATGATTGGTCCTCGCCGAGTGTCTGGTCTGGTGAGTTTAGCTGAGTGTAAGTCAAGTGTTGGTGTAGACATAAGAACAGTCTTTGGTTAGGTTAGGTTGGTACATCATAGAGAGAGAGAGAGCCACTTGACACTAATTACCAACTAAAAAATTATCTTGTTTCTCACACGATACATCTGATCTCCGGGGCTTGAAATATTCACCTAAATTATAAATTATACTTTTCCTGACAATCAGTACACAGCCCCCCAGGCTCACCCGGGTGCGACGGTAAACATGACGTCATCAACCCTACATTTACCAGGTAGGCTCGTAGGTATGACGTCATTACCCCGGGGGCGTATAGGATCGTTACCATAATGACATCACTGGCAGTAAACAGCTGATGGCTAGTGATCCAAACCTCAGCTGTATTTGGACACTTGGGTAATATTTTCGTTTTTCTGATATGAGTAAAATTAATATGTGGATTTACTTAATGAATTATGTAAAGTATAACGTGTAGATTAAACCTCTGATTAATTTAACCTCTGGAAAATAGTGTAGCTCTTTTATTGAGATTTGTGCTTGTATCTGTAATATTATCCACACCTATACTTTAATATGTACCTTAACTTGTATATGTACTTGTTCCATACCTAAACATATACCTGTATCAGTAAAAAAAAAAACTTACCTGTGTGTGAACTTCTGTACCTGTAATTTTCGTCACTAATTAATAAAACGAAATGAAGTAAGGTGACGGAGGCGCGGCAGAGCGAGACAGACAGACCTTTGATTGTCAGGTATGGTCTCACGATCAATATTTTACCTGGAAAAATAGTAGTATTGTACGAGAGACCGAGTGTAGTGGGTGTAGTGAGGAGTATTCAGTGTAGGTGTGGGTGAGGTCCTGTTCAGTGTAGGTGAGGGTGAGGTCCTGTTCAGTGTAGGTGTGGGTGAGGTCCTGTTCAGTGTAGGTGTGGGTGAGGTCCTGTTCAGTGTAGGTGTGGGTGAGGTCCTGTTCTGTTCAGGTGTAGGTGTGGGTGAGGTCCTGTTCAGTGTAGGTGTGGGTGAGGTCCTGTTCAGTGTAGGTGTGGGTGAGGTCCTGTTCAGTGGAGGTATTAGGTTCGTAGGGAAAGGTGGGATGGGGAGAGGAGTGGTAGGGAGAATGGAGAAGATGGGTAGGGGGCGGAGGTCTGTAGTAGGGAGAGTCAGACGATGGTTGTGGGAGGGGGGGTGAGGCAGAAGACCGGGGAAGTGTGGGTTGATGTCGTTGTGATCTGCTGCCAGTGGCCAGGTCCGCTCTCGCCTCTCTTTAATGAGTCTGTCAGAGCCAGGCCGTCCCCCTCCACCTTGTCCTCCTCCCCCGTCCTCCACCTCCCCAGCCTGTCCTCCACCTCCCCTAGTCCGTCCTCCACCTCCCCAGCCTGTCCTCCACCTCCCCTAGTCCGTCCTCCACCTCCCCAGCCTGTCCTCCACCTCCCCTAGTCCGTCCTCCACCTCCCAGCCTGTCCTCCACCTCCCCAGCCTGTCCACCTCCAGCCTGTCCTCCCCAGCCTGTCCTCCACCTCCCAGCCTGTCCTCCACCTCTCCAGCCTGTCCTCCACCTCCCCAGCCTGTCCTCCACCTCTCCAGCCTGTCCTCCACCTCCCCAGCCTGTCCTCCACCTCCCCAGCCTGTCCTCCACCTCTCCAGCCTGTCCTCCACCTCCCCAGCCTGTCCTCCACCTCACAGTCCTTAGACAAACACCTGCCCCCATCCTCCCCCCAGCCTCAGGTAAGGTCATTGCCTCGCAGTGTGACCTCCACCTACAATGCCTCGTATATATTCCATAAGTCTCTTCTAATGCAACCAAGATGGATCGTATAAGAGCAAGATTTCATCGCCACGGTCTCTTACAAGTTGCCATCTGTTGCCGTATTCTGAGAGTTTACCGACAGTTTCACCGCATTGTGTCTCTTATAAATCAAGTTATGAATGTGGGTGAAAAGGAGAATCTCACGAGAGACTTTTCTATATGTGAATGAATGTTTATTCCATCTTTGATTTACTGTAGTATCAGAGTCAGAGTACTATGAGTGGTGGACGTAACGCAACAGATAAATACAGAAGGTCGATCTATCATGACCTTCGCTTGGATGTGGGTGCCCTTCCGTCCTTCCCCGGTGTAGTATTTAGTAACCTTCCTCCCGGGTTTCGGAGGTTTCGCCACGTTCCTAACACCCGCCCCTTCCTCCCACCGATCCACTTCCTCGCCTTCCTCAACAGCCGCGAGAATCATCCGGTAGGTGTGGGGCGGGGGGAGATGGTCTCGAGCGCTCTCCTCTCTCCGCACGGATAAACTTTTCCCTTTTCCGGCCCAACAACTATAAATCTTATCAAGCTGAAGGAGCCGTGGTCGTCTTTTAGGTTTGTGCCGGCGCTGTGCTTGTTGAGGGGAGGAAGCGGGCGCTGGTTTTCCTCTCAGTGGTGCTGTTAAGCCTAGCGGTCGTCAGATGGTTGAGAGGTAACAAGGGCCATCAAGTTAACCTTGGCATAGTGCTATGTTACATCACACCCGGCTGCCATTACTACCACCACTACCAACATTACCACCACTACCAACATTACCACCACTACCATCATTACCACCATCACAGCGCTAAATATCATCACAATTTTCACCATTACAATCTATATCACCATGTCATCACCACCACCACCATTACAAGCATATTGTTATCACCACTCTCACCACCACCACCACGCGCGCCAACTTCTCAACACCCACACACTACACCTCTTCGGTCTACTGTTACAGAGTGATTAGCGGCCAAACATATCCAGCTAGACTTAAAGTTCCGAGTAGAATTATACCGTTGGCACCACTGTTACCCCGAGGCCTGAAGGGTAGCGTGTGGTGGTGCTGTGATGGTGGTATTGCTGTTGGTAAGGGTGGTGTGATGGTGGTAGTGGTGGTGTGATGGTGTTGATGGTAGTGTGATGTTGGTGGTAGTGTGGTATTGGTGATGATGGTAATAATGGTGGTGAGTGGAAAGTAGGAGAGGGAGATAGGGAGGAAAGAAGGAGACGAAGAATGGGAAGATAAACAGGAAAATGAGGGAAGTATGATAAATTAGTAGTGTAGATGAAAGAGGGAGGCAGTGAAGTGAGGGGAGGGGGTGATAGGTGGTGCAGGTGAAGCAACAGGTGGTTGAGAGCGGGTAGGTGAGGAGTAAGGGGGGGGGGTGAGGTAAGGGAGGAATACAGCGATAATAGAAGTTCGGGTAATATTAATACTTTTGTAGTTTTTAGTTGACTACAGTATGAAAGTAGACGGTACAGTACCTTTAAGACGTATATACCTACAAAACTACAAAGGGAATAGATACCAAGCATTAGAGTTTACTGTCAGCATACCTTTAAAATGCTAAACAATACAATCCGAAAATTTCCTAAAATGATTGACGTTTTGTGGTGTTTTACGCTACTCTCCCTCACCACACAGCCAGGAGATGATCCACTCGTGTACCCCAGCAGCCCAGACAGGATCCTGAAATAACTCGTCTTTCTCCTGTGTGTGTGGAGGGGACTCGTGTGTCAGGTGTGGGGGTAGCTGCCACGGCCCACTAAAATTAAACAAATAATTCATGAACTAGACGACGTCATCTACCACCACCACCACCACTCAGCTGATCAATACCTGCTGGTGTTTGAATTATCTCACCTTTATTACCCAGTCAGCTTGTTTTTACCTGGACATTATTTGCTTCCTAAAGTTCAATTGTTAGCGGATTGAAAGTCAAGCCCATGATGTCACGTGTTACCTCATGAAATTTATCTGATATAAATTCTTGAGACGAGAAACATAAGTCGTAATTGTTGTGTTATCTATTAATGAAACTTTGGTGAAGGTAAATTAGAAATCACAATTGTTCGTTTTTTTTCTTGCCTAAACGTCACGTAATGTTGTTTTAGTACCTGTTCGTGAATATAATAGAACGCGGACGAGAGAAAACCTTTTAAAAGGTTAAACAAAACTTGCAGCTTTTAACACAGGTGAAGGGTCTTGCTAACACTGCTTACAGCTCCTGAGTCAATTGTAATGTTGTCTCGAGAACATTCATTACTTCACCGCTGTTACTCAAAACGTCTCGGTTATTTTCGCTAAATCCCTTACGGTAACAGAAGTTTTGTATTAATTCTATTCTCAACTACGAATTAAGTTTGTTTTACATTCAACATAAATACTTCCACCTGTTAAGTATCTTACCAGTCTGTCAGTTACACGAATATTAATGTAATATATGTAAAATTATGTGAATGAGTATAAATGTTACATATGCAATACACATTTCTCTTACAACATTGTGTACACACGTAAAGCGAAGAACAAGCGACCACAGGTGACGCTCCACACACAAACACATCACAGGCAAGACTCAACGTTGATAGTGTCTTCGCAATCTAAGTGTATGTCAACAGTGGCGAAAACGTTGTCTGTCTGTTTGTCTGTCTGGCTCTTATGGGTGAGGTTCATCAGAGCTCATGACCCTCACAGTTCATGACTATAAGACCCCTTACAGTTCATGACTATAAGACCCCTCACGGTTCATGACTATAAGACCCCTCAGTTCATGACTATAAGACCCCTCACGGTTCATGACTATAAGACCCCTCACGGTTCATGACTATAAGACCCTCACAGTTCATGACTATAAGACCCTCACAGTTCATGACTATAAGACCCCTCACAGTTCATGACTATCACAGTTCATGACTATAAGACCCCTCACGGTTCATGACTATAAGACCCTCACAGTTCATGACTATAGACCCCTCACGGTTCATAAGACCCCTCACGGTTCATGACATAAGACCCTCACAGTTCATGACTATAAGACCCCTCACGGTTCATGACTATAAGACCCTCACGGTTCATGACTATAAGACCCTCACAGTTCATGACTATAAGACCCTCACAGACTATCCCTCACAGTTCATGACTATAAGACCCCTCACAGTTCATGACTATAAGACCCTCACAGTTCATGACTATAAGACCCCTCACAGTTCATGACTATAAGACCCCTCACAGTTCATGACTATAAGACCCTCACAGTTCATGACTATAAGACCCCTCACAGTTCATTACTATAAGACCTTCACAGTTCATGACTATAAGACCCTCATCTGTCTCAGTAGATCCTCACTGAAGCTACCTGAATACACCGAAGGAGACGCGGCTGGGGGCTGCAGTTGATACTGTTTCAGTGGGAGTTAGTGTGACATGCGACCTTTGCGACAGTGTGTGCCGTCCGTGAATTAGGCGTTGATGAGACGCACTAATTTTTCTGGATGCTGGAAAATTGGGGTCACATAGTTCAGGTCATGGCGGGTCTTTATGTACGCTACGTTTTCGCAATAGGAGGCACTTCTGGAAACTGTGTAGGTGGGTGAAGGTTCTGTATGTGTGTGCGTATAATTCACACCCGAAGGACCTTGGAGTGGGAGAAGGGAGTGGAAGGGGCGTAAACTCTGCTTGCGTTGTGTTAACCCAAGATTCTCCAAAGTTTACACTGTGGGAACGTATATCTAAGCTACCTCACTTAATGTTTCCAGCAGAAGTATGAGACTTGATTACTAGTTAAGGTAGAAAATTGACCTTGACGTATCTTTCGACGTATATGAATAGAGACAAATTAATGTTTCTTGTTATTATTTTGTTGTTGTTTCTCATTGTGTCTTCGTGAATACTGCCCATCAGAGGAGGAGAGTGGCAATTATCGTAACCTGGAGCGACTATTACACACCTCCTGCAAGTGATACCTGTTATTACAACACTTATCTACAACACTGTTACTACAACACTATCATCTACATCACTGTTATCTACAACACTGTTACTACAACACACGAGAGTTACTACAAACAGCAACTATAAACATCCATTCATTAAAATTAAGAAACCCTGTTTAGAACCCTAGACTGGCCGTGTTCTGACTCAGAGTTAGACTAGTTCACCTTCGCTGCTGCTGAGTAATACCGAGTAGCGTCTGTGTGTTAGGGCTGGAGTGTACGGTACGTGGGTAAGCAATACTCATCTGATGCTTCCTGATTTTTTATTTATTTATTTTTTTTGTCGTTTGAGTTTTTAATTTTAAACGATTATTATGTTTTTAATATTTTTTCCTTTTTATTTTGCTTAGTTCTTAGTTATATTACATTTGATTGTGATAGATGGAATATTATTAAATGACTAGTATAGAATTTTTTGTTTAGTAAGTGAAGCGAGGTTTAGAAGTTCCAGGTGACATTTATTGATTCAGAGATAAGTTAAAAATAACAGACACCGATTGTGTTATATCTGTCTGTAGTGTTGTGGGCCGCCCGTGTCTCTTTATCGGAGTCAAACTGTTTCCCTTCCCTGGTCAATAACATTTGCTTGCGTGATTGATGGCTTATTGTCTTTCGTTATTGGTCTGGGACTGTCGGAATTTTTCACATAATATTTGCTATTTTGCCCGGTTGTGGGTGAAGAAGAATTTTTTTCTCGCTTGATATCTACAGTACACACACACACACACACACATGGAATTTGCCATCGCAATTAGTCCATATCATTAAGCTTTATAAGAAGAAGTTATTTTCTACAATATTTACTTTATATTAACATAAAAGTTTTACAAAGAAAAGTAAACGTAAAGTTGTGGGGTGATAAGTCAGCACTATAACAACCTCAACTGGCCAAACATTACATGACCTTAACCTTGACTTCTATGAACTTAGTTCCAGCCGCTTAATTAACAAAGTGATTATATAATACACTTTAAATACTTACACGTAGAATATTGTCGTATGGTTGCTCTTTAAGAATAAATTGTCCTGGTGCAGAGTTAGAAAGGTCGTAGCGGTTGCACACACACACGCGTACGAACGGAGGGAGACCACTGTTTGCCGCGTCGGCCAAGAGTGAGAGAAGAGACCGCCACGCGCCCCTTTATAAGAGCTGCCATTTCCGTCTCTCACTGGGTGTGTGAGCCGGACTGGCCAGCTGATTGGCTGGCTGACTTAGTCTACTGGGATGCCCACTAGCTGAACTCGTGCGTCACGAATTGTTTTTCACCTCATTATGGGTAAACTTTTGGTCGAGTGAGTAAAGTGTGCCTTAAGTTTATTGATTTTTTGTTTTATCGACCCAGAGGAGTAGTTATGATAGTTGTACTTTTAACCAACACATTTATGCTACAAAATATATCACCACACGCTCTGTGGTCATTATTATTATTATTATTATTATTATTATTATTATTGGTGTTATTGTTGTTGTTGTTGTTGTTGTTATTATTATTATTATTATTATTATTATTATTATTATTATTATTATTATTATTATTATTATTATTATTATTATTATTATTATTATTATTATTATTATTATTATTATTATTATTATTATTATTGTTGTTGTTGTTAGTATTGTTGTTGTTATTGTTGTTATTATTATTATTATTATTATTATTATTATTATTGTTGTTGTTGTTGTTATTATTGTTATTGTTATTGTTATTATTAGTATTGTTGTTGTTATTGTTGTTATTGTTTTTATTATTATTAGTAGTAGTATTGTTGTTGTTATTGTTATTATTATTACGTATTATTATTAGTATTATTATTAGTATTGTTGTTATTGTTATTGTTATTATTATTGTTGTTGTTATTGTTATTGTTATTATTATTATTATTATTGTTGTTGTTTATTTATTATTATTATTGTTGTATATTTATTATTATTATTATTGTTTGGGGGACCGGTGGTAGAAGCGGTACCGTTCTTGCCTCGCAAGCGAGATGTCACGGGTTCGATTCCCGGGCCGGTGGAAGTTGTTTGGACTTACTTCCTTGCCCCCATTAGTCCCTGTTCACCTAGCAGTAAAGTAGGTACCTGGTGTAAATCGAAATTTGCGAATTCGTATTCAGGGACAAGTTGTTGGAGCTTCCAATAACTTGATGACATAAACCACTGACTCTTCAGGCTTCTACGCCCTTAAACTCATGAGACATAAAGGCAAGCATGAACTTAGCATGCTTCTCTGTTGGGCGCTGTAAACGCTTCTGCTCTTCGCCTTACACAAGGATGTAGGGGAGTGCCCAATACAAAAAATATATATATTAATATATTATTGTTGTTGTTGTTTATTTATTATTATTGTTGTTGTTGTTTTTATTATTATTGTTGTTGTTGTTTGTATTATTATTATTATTATCATTATTACTATTATTAATATTTTTATTGCTGTTTTTATATTATTATTATTATTATTATTATTATTATTATTATTATTATTATTATTATTATTATTATTAGTGTTGTTGTTCTTGGTTTTTATTATTATTATTAAAATTTTTATTGTTGTTACTCGTATTATTATACACGTAAAGGGAGACTTGGTCGTAGGGTGGCGTGTGGACGGGAGGGGGGGGGGTGGGGGTAAAGGATCAACAGGTGTAGGAGGAAGGTGTGGACGAGTGCAGCTCTGTTGGCACCTAGTAAGGCTATAATGGTGCGCTACGATGCCTCAGCTGAAAGATATTACGCTGTTTCTGGGTGACTGACCCCATACTTTGAATGACTGAGTGGTGAGCTGGGCTATTGATTGGTTGGTTATTTGGTTTACTGACTGGTTGACTGGTTGGTTATTTGGCTCACTGACTGGTTGACTGGTTGGTTATTTGGCTCACTGACTGATTGACTGGTTGGTTATTTGGGTTACTGACTGGTTGACTGGTTGGTTATTTGGTTTATTGACTGGTTGACTGGTTGGTTATTTGGTTTATTGACTGGTTGACTGGTTGGTTATTTGGTTTATTGACTGGTTGACTGGTTGGTTATCTGGTTTAGTGACTGGTTGACTGGTTGGTTATTTGGTTTAGTGACTGGTTGACTGGTTGGTTATTTGGTTTATTGACTGGTTGACTGGTTGGTTATTTGGGTTACTGACTGGTTGACTGGTTGGTTATCTGGTTTATTGACTGGTTGACTGGTTGGTTATTTGGTTTAGTGACTGGTTGACTGGTTGGTTATTTGGTTTATTGACTGGTTGACTGGTTGGTTATTTGGTTTATTGACTGGTTGACTGATTGGTTATCTGGTTTAGTGACTGGTTGACTGGTTGGTTATTTGGTTTAGTGACTGGTTGACTGGTTGGTTATCTGGTTTACTGACTGGTTGACTGGTTGGTTATTTGGGTTACTGACTGGTTGACTGAGTGTTTATTTGGGTTACTGACTGGTTGACTGAGTGGCTACCAAACTGTGAACTGAAGTCAGATCAACTTGGCAAGGAAACACCCGAAGACTTTTTACCTTCAATGATGTACTTATGAGAGGAAACGGCCGTCCTTCCCCCCCCCCACACACACTCCTTCCCCCCCACCCCCCCACACACTCCTCCCCACCCACACACTCCTTCCCCCCACACACACCTCCTTCCCCACACCTCCCCCCACACACACCTCCTTCCCCCCACACACCTCCTTCCCCCACACCTCCTTCCCCACACACCTCCTTCCCCCACACACACCTCCTTCCCCCCACCCCCCACACCTCCTCCCCCACACACACACTCCCTTCCCCACACACCTCCTTCCCCACACACACCTCCTTCCCCCCACACACACACTCCTTCCCCCCCCCCACACACACCTCCTTCCCCCACACACACACTCCTTCCCCACACCTCCTTCCCCACACACACACACTCCCCCCCCCCCCACACACACCTCCTTCCCCCACACACACACCTCCTTCCCCCACACCCACACACACACACACTCTTCCCCCACACACACTCCTTCCCCCACACACACCTCCTCCCCCACACACACACTCCTTCCCCCCCACACACACACGATATGCAACTTCCGTTTTCTTTGATTTGTTTACACTTTGTTAACTTTATTAAATAAGATAAAAATTTGACCCTAAGATGATGTAATTAAAGTCCTACCACAGAAACATACATGGAAGACTTAACTTAATCTAACCTAACCTAACCTAAACCTAATCTAACCTAATCTAAACAAACCTAATCTAGTTTAGCCTTACCGAATTTAGTTCTTAACCTAACCTAATCTCGCTGTAACCTACGCTAACTTAACCTAATCTAAGCTTAGCTAACCTTCATGGTGGGTGTCTCATTATTTCACATTTAAGGCTGGATTATCTCAACACTAGTCGACTTTTCACCCCAGGTTTCTTCCTCTACCACATAAAACGTTTTGGAACCTGGCGACACCGTGACACACTACCAAGGAATACGTAAGAGGAGACACCGCGCCAAGGAATATGTAAGAGGAGACACCGCGCCAAGGAATATGTAAGAGGAGACACCGCGCCAAGGAATATGTAAGAGGAGACACCGCGCCAAGGAATACGTAAGAGGAGACACCGCGCCAAGGAATACGTAAGAGGAGACACCGCGCCAAGGAAGAGGAGACACCGCGCCAAGGAATACGTAAGAGGAGACACCGCGCCAAGGAATACGTAAGAGGAGACACCGCGCCAAGGAATACGTAAGAGGAGACACCGCGCCAAGGAATATGTAAGAGGAGACACCGCGCCAAGGAATATGTAAGAGGAGACACCGCGCCAAGGAATATGTAAGAGGAGACACCACGTTAAGGGTAGTGGCTCCAGCGCAGGCACTACGTCACAGGGAAGGGAGAGATCTAGCGTGAAAACTAGTTCATTGTTATTCTAGTCATGATGTGTGAGCTTGGAACTTGTTGCCACAACACACTGACGTCCAAGATCTGTAATGGGAAAAAGTTGATAGAATATTGCATAGTTGTTTTTTTTTCGTAAATATTCTTGTTTTTGTCACTAACGCCTGTTTCCTGTCGCTTCCCTTCTTTTTTTTTTCTCAAGAATCATTATTCTCTCTCTCTCTCTCTCTCTCTCTCTCTCTCTCTCTCTCTCTCTCTCTCTCTCTTGTTTATTAACTTCAATGACTCATTTATTCCCCATCACAATTTTTCATATTCCTGATTTTATTTTTGTCTCATTGTTTTCCTAAATTACTTTCCTTCTTCCCCGTTCTTTGTTCATTGCTACTCGTCTGTTTCTTCCTTCTTCGCCGGCTCTCTGTTCATGGTCTTCCCTCAGAGAGACAAGAGTCAGGGTCAAGATTATGGAGGGAAGTCCCTGGAAGCTGGCGGTATAATCCCCACACCCTGAGGGCCATTGACGTCATCACCAAAATCAACGACCGAACCTCAGTCCCTTAGCAGAAATAACAAAAAACCGATTTTTGTTCATAGTCCGGATATTAATTATAGCTATGTCGATTGTTGAGCACTAATACAAAGTTATTGATAAATTTAACTATATTTCGGAGTCACTACCGTTAATACCTGTTCATCTGGAATCACCTCAAGGTCTTGTCACCCGTGCTTGTGTGTAGCGTGCCACTGAGATTTAGCCAAGTACTGTCCGAACAAAACAAAGCCGAGGGCATGAAATAGCAGTCTGGAAAGCTGGAGAAAAATCGTTTGTATGTATGTATGTGAGTATGTATGTATGTATGTATGTATGTATGTATGTATGTATGTATGTATGTATGTATGTATGTATGTATGTAAGGATGAGAAGTATGTTGATGTTTGTAGGGTGGTGTATAAATAAAAGTAGAGCAGTAGGGATATGTGAAGTAAGATGGACAGTTTAACGTGACTTTTGCAGAGAAAAATGTCCCTTTATATATTCAAGCGGTGAGGTGTGGGAATGGTCTGAAATGGTAGATGAAATTCAATGTGGACAAATGTAAAGTACTTAGTCGTGGAGATGTAAACAGGGAAACCAGGTACCAGATGAACAACGATGTTATAGAGAAATCCGACTGTGAAAAAGATTAGGAGTAATGATAAGTAGGAATCTTAAACCTAGTAAACAATGTGTATTTGCTCGAAACAAGGCTAACAAAGTAC